TGATGCCTCTTGTTTATTTCTGATTATAAAAAGGGAACATATATATTGTGGAGAATTTAGCAAATATACATAAGAGTATAAAGAAAAAATAAACCACCTTGTAAATTCATCACCTTCCAACATTTTACATATGTGTTTTTTACACATTTACATGCCTACATGCATATACATAAAACACACAAAAATGAGATTGTAAATGCTTATTAAGTTGCATGTGCTTTTTTACTCATTTTATCATGGACATAGTCCTTTGTCATTAAAATATTTCTTAAATCATGATTTTCAATGGATAAATAACAGATAATTTATTTAGCCAATCAAGTCTGGGGATTTCCTGAGTTAAAACTGTCAACTACAAATTCAAGCCCTGTGGTTCAAGAAAGTCATTTCACAATCTGCTGAGAAGGGTTTCTACTGAGAAATCTCAAGTTACAGTTTGAAAACACTGGGACATTCTAACCAAAAACTGAATGAAATTCACTAAGTTTTAGACCTGAAGGATGCTCAGTAAAGACCATATTCTCCAAAATGGAGCATACCATTTTGTAATAAGTCTTGAGGAAGAAACTGAGTAAGCAAAGACTCAAGTAGCAATAACAGATAAGAACCAGTAAGTGCCTACTATAAGAATTAATGACTACCTGCAATGTTCTGTTTCTTTAATAAGGCAAAAAAAAAGAGACTGTATCCATCTATTTTACTTGCACAATTAAATTTTCAAGAGGATATAGAAAAAAATTATTATAGAAAAAGAATGGAAACAATGACAAAGACCTAATAGTGGCTAATTCTGGAATATGACATTGTTTTAACTTTCCTGTATTTAACATTTTTCTCACAACCAAAAACTTACTGTTAAATTAAATATTAGTCATGTGACTGAGGTAATTCAGATTTTAGTTATTGAAGTACAGGGAAAATCAGTAAGTTTTACCAGAGGCTAAGTGGATCTTTTCAAAAGGAAAATTAAAAAGCTGGGCATTCCACTCTCCCCACTGTTATTCAACAGAGTATTGGAGATCTGAGCCACGGCAATTAGACAAAACAAAGAAATACAAGGAATTCACATTGGTAAAGAAGAAGTTAAACTGTCACTATTTGCAGATGACATGATATTGTACATAAAAAACCCTAAAGACCCCATACCAAAACTACTAGAACTAATACAGGAATTCAGTAAAGTTGCAGGATACAAAATTAACACAAAGAAATCTGTAGCTTTCCTATATACTAACAATGAAGTAATAGAAAGAGAAATCAGGAAAACAATTCCATTCACAATAGCATCAAAAAGAATAAAATACCTAGGAATAAACCTAACCAAGGAAGTGAAAGACCTATACCCTGAAAACTACAAGACACTCTTAAGAGAAATTAAAGGGGACACTAACAAATGGAAACTCATCCCATGCTCATGG